TTTTAGATAAATATTTTATTTGTTCATTTAGTTAAACATTTATTCGGTGTGTATTACATCCCAAGGACTGTCCAAGGTGCTGCGGACGTAGCAGTGAAAAGATAGATAAATTCCTTGTCCTTATTAGATACTCAAACAAGGAGACCACAAGTGATGTTGTGTTAGTCAGGGTGGGCTAGGTGATGCTGTGTAAGTCAGCAAATCCCCACGGCCTAACACAACAGTGGTTTCCGTCTCACACACGGCTAGTCCATGGCTGGTCCAGGAGACCATTCAAGGCAGCTGTCCTCAGCCTTCAAGGTGCCTCCTGCATATCAGTACATGCTCGCATCAGAGAAAAGTGGGCTGGAGACCCAAACAGTGGCGGTCAGAAGCTCATACGAGCACCACTTCCACTTCGTATTTTATTGGCCGTAGCAAGTCACGTGGCTGTGCCTACTCCAGTGGAATGGAGAAGTCTGAGTCTTAGCCATCCTAGTGGTAAAGACAACCCAGGCCTGTCTACTGCGCCAGTCAATGCTGTGAAAAATGTGTATAGAGAGTTGGTGGATAGAGTATATTTAAAAAAAAAATTATAGAAGCAGAATAAACATGAGCTTTATGCAGGTTATTGCTTAGAATGCTAATAAAGCACATTTGTATTTCAGAAAAAAATCGAGTCAACTTAAAGTTATTTAATAACTATTGTTTCAAATTGGTACTCAGATATAAGAAAAAAATATTAAGGCCATTTGTAAATGGTTTATTTGCTAAATCTGCTTGAGGACAAGGGTGAAGACACTATATATATTGGTATCCTCGAATTTTTAGGCACAGAGGAGAGGATCGAGAAACCTTTGCGGAAGTTACTAATGTTCGTTATTTTAAATTGCTTTTGCTTTCCTCCTTGACTGACTGTCTTGAACTGTAGTCCATTATAATTTTGTCTGGTGGCTTGGAATTTTCTTCCAAGAGCAATTTTTATTGTCTTTATCTACATTAATATCTTTACATTCAATTATAGTTTAAATTTGAACCACACATACATGAATCACTCGTGGTCTCTTGTAATTTGTCTCAGATACTTTCTTAAACCATTGTTAAGTATTCAGTAGAAGAAAGGGAAGTGGTAACATTAATGTGGGAATTTACAATCAACCATCTTGTCTTTAAAAACAAAACAAAAACAAAACAACTTTTATGTTTAATACTCACTTGGCAACTGCTGGGCTGGAAAGGAATTTCACAAATTTGAATAAAGAGGGCAGGAAATGCTATGATTTAAAAAAAGAAACTTACTCAAGGTCATGGACATCTTTCTTAAAGGTAGAATTGTATGCTTGTTTCAAAGATAGTATGGTTATGTTTTTTCTTTTTTTTTAACATTTTTTATAGATTTAAAATCATTTTACAATGTTGTGTCAAATTCCAGTGTAGAGCACAATTTTTCAGTTATGCATGAACATATATATATTTATTGTCACATTTTTTTCTGTGAGCTACCATAAGATCTTGTATATATTTCCCTGTGCTGTACAATACAATCTTGTTTATTTATTCTACAGTTCTGAAATCTATGTCTTCCCACCCCCAGCCCCCTTGGCAACCACAAGAAACAAACAAACAAAGCATAAATACAAAACAGAAATAGACTCACAGACATAGGTTATGTTTTTTCTTATATGTCTACTGTTCTTTTCTTTTGCGGGGGGAGGCAATTAGGTTTATTTATTTATATTTATTTTTTTAGCGAATGTACTTGGGATTGATCTCAGGACCTCGTGCATGCTAAGCATGTGCTCTACCACTTGAACTATACCTTCCCCCCACTTTTCTTTCACTTTTGATTTAGTCTTTATAATTAAAAAAAAAAAAAGTCACCCAAAGAGAGGGCGCATGTCTCCTCTGAGGAAGTAGCTAGGTCAGGGGCTTTCCAGAAGAGTCTCTGTCTCTACTGGATTGATTTTCATTTCAGCACCATCACCTCCCACCTCCAGATGTGTGTCCGAGGCATCCCATCCATTCTGTTGGCCAACTTGGCTTAAATGAGTTCCTCTCCCGTCTGCACTGTGAGTCACGTGTGTCTGTAAGAGTTTATGCCCTTTGATGCAGTTTGCTGCTTTTAGATTTGTACCAAATTTGTTTGTTAGTCGGCAAATGGGACACAGCTGGCTTCTGATTTAGAGAGCGCCTTAAACTAGTTACCTCCTAACTTAACTTGATCATTTAAATGGAAAGTGCTCCTGCTCCAACAGAGCAGACATGATATAAAAAATATTTCCGACATGACGCTTTTGCCCCTGTGGCTACTGGTATCTCTGGGGGAAAAAAAAAGTGAACAAGGCAGCCTTTAAGATTCTCACAAGTGGTAAACTGCCTTTTCATTATTTAAGAAAAGCTTTAAATGTTCAACATTCTTAAGCTAATGATAATGGATACCCAGAAAATACCGATAAATGGAATAGAATAGATTTTGGAAAGTGGCAGTTTGTGGAGAAATTACTGACAGTATCGATGTGTGCTGGAATGTCACCTGCAAGGGGGCGATAGCTTGGACTGAGGGGAGTTACTTCTTTGGGCTTTGGTTTGTAAATAAGGCAGCAGTCCTTTCTCTTCAAGGAGCCTCTAGGCAGTTATGAATGAGAGAGCACTGATGTGCTTTGTCCAAAGACACGGAGCTGGCAGTGGCCCTCTAGGATGCTGTTCTGGGGATCTCATGATCTGGAGGAACCTCAGTCTGTCATTGAGGAGGACAGCAGTCTATAGTTGAAGATGACCAGACCTCGAGTCAGAAGATTTGGAGAGTCCTGGCTATGCTGTTAACTGTTACTAATTTAGCTTTCCGCCCCAAGTGCCACCAAGGCCTATGTGGTCTGGCCCCAGCCTCCTTTTCTAGTCTTCATGGCTCGCCTGCTCCCTTCCAGCCCCTGCACATTTCTTGCTCCTTCCAGAGGCACACGCTTTGCCCGGCTTTCTGCGCATGCTGTTCCCTCAGCCTGGCACGCTCCACCCAGAGGCAGGCTTACGGGTACTGAGCAGATGGAAGACGTTCTAAGGGTTATCAGTGCTTCCCATGACTCTCTTGGTGCAATCTCAGAACAGCTGCAGGAAGGGGGTGATGGCATCGGATGGAGGAGGCGCTGAGGGAGCGCGATGCGGCAGAGGCATAAGGGAACCCAGCGGGCGGGGTGGGAGCCAAGGCTCTCCCGCCAAGCGGGCTCACAGCACAGCGCACCCAGGGCTCGGTCCACGCCGTCCCTTGAACCCCAGCGCCCTTCCTTGGACAGCACTTCCTGACTATCCTATTTAAGGTGGAATCCTTCTCAGGGGTGGGGGTATAACTGAGTGGGAGGGTGCGCGCTTAGCAAGTGCAAGGTCCTGGGTTCAATCCCCAGTATCTCCATAAAAATAAAGAAAGAAAGGAAGAAAGGGAGAAAGAAAGGAAGAGAGAAAGGAAGAAAGAAGGTTCCCAGTGACTCTGCCTACTTCCTTGCTCATGATCTCACCTCCCCTCTTTGTGGGGAGGCACTTGTTCTGATCTGTGTGACACTGTACCCCCAGAGGCGCCCCGAGGGGAGGGTATCACTTAGGTTAGAATCGTTGCTCATGTTTAAGATGTTTTATCCTTTTTTTTGGTATATATATATATATATAGATGTGATTTACAATGCTGTGTCAGCTTCTGATGCACAGCACAATGCTTCAGTCATGCATAAACATACATATATTCATTTTCATATTCTTTTTCACCATAAGTTACTACAAGATATCGAATATAGTTCCCTGTGCTGTATAGTATAAACTTGTAGTTTATCTATTTTTTTACATATTAATATCTGCAAATCTTGAACTCCCAATTTATCCCTTCCTGCCCACCCCCCACCCCCCCCCCGTAACCATAAGTTTATTTTCTAGGTCTGTGAGTCTGTCTCTGTTTTGTAAATAAGTTCGTTCATCTTATTCTTCAAACACTTACCGAGCATCCATTTGATGCCAGATACCACGCCAGTTTTGGGAAAGAGGAAGGCAAATGAGAATGGTGGGTTTTCCAACGTTCTTGCCTTTCCTGATGCTTTTAGAGCATCCCAGGGAAAAAAAAAAAGAAGTTAATAGGATAAACATTATATTTGGGCAAACACAAGGTGCTGGGGAAGTCAGGGTGTGCGGAGAGTGACTCAGAGGGGGTGATACTGTGCTGAGACTGGAGGATGAGGATGAAGGCTCAGAGGTGTGGAGGTGGGTCTGGGGGAGCCCTCGAAGCAGAGGGGATGACCGAAGGCCCCGAGGGCACAGGCCTGTCTGGAGAACAGTGCAGGGCAGCACCTACTGTCTGCGTCTGGAGAAGAAGTTAGGTTTTCCAGTGTCTTGGAAACGAAACCAAAAGTCAGGACTTTATTGTGTGAGCAGTGAGATGCCACAAAGGATTTTCAAGTCAATGGGGATTTTTACTTAGTATCTGACTCAGGGTGCTGCCTCCAGCCAGGAAAGTTGGAAGTCTGTCCATTCGCGAGATGAGACCCCATCTCGCAGAGTAACACAGACACGTCGGCAGCGTTGATTTAATTTTCTCAACGACAGTCCTGCCGGTGCTTCTCACTCCTACTTTCCCTACCTTCTCTCCCTTTTCCCTTCCAACTGCTGTTCTTGTCAAAAGTCAAGCCTAAAACTGTTTGCCCACCCTCCTTATCTTTCTCCGCGGACCCTCCACACCCTCACAGTTCCCATAAACCAGACCGTTTCATGGAGTCAGTTGCCTCCGGGGTGGCAGGGCTTTTAAGGGCATGGACCCCCGAATTGTGCTTTGGGCCAGATCCTCTGTTCTTCATGACTCAGGAGCTGGATTTGTACCGGGGACCTTCTATCCGAAAAGGCGATCCGGGGCTGGGGAGGGCAGAGGCGACTTGACAAAGTGGAGAGGAGTTCGGTGCCGGTCGGCCACGCTCTGGGCATGCGTGAGCACACAGCAAAACACAGCTGGCACGGCTAATTTTAGCCTCGCCCGCCTTGAAAAGGGACCCTTTAAGGAAATATATTTTCTCTGAAACAATTTGTATTATAATGTAGCAGCTGATAGGCATGTCAGAATGCGACTTATTATTGGTGGGGAAAAACTCCGCCAAGTGATGATGATTTTTGTTGTTATTTTTTGTGATGATATCAGAAAAGTGATTTAAGCATCCATGAATCATAAAGGGACAGACAGTGGGAGAAACGGTGATTTTATTTATCAAGACTATTGTAAACCTAAGGGGACGCCTCTTTTGATTTTTACCAGATGGATGTAATGGTAAGAGTGATTATGTCTGCTGCGGTAAGTTGGCTGTTGTGATCTGGTGATGCCTGTCTTGTTAATAGAGTGGTCCTGGAGTAGACTCTGAAATTTCTTCAATACTTACCGTCCTCCATGTCCTCCAAGGAGTAAAAGGTTAGTTTCTAAAGCAGGTCTCAGATTCACTGGGCTTTAGTGTGTTCACAGGTTTTGAAAGCTCCCGGGCACACTTTTTCCATTTTAACCAGCACGGTTGGTCTGTCTGCCTTTATCATTATTATTATTATTTTTTCCTTCCTCTCCCTTCGTCCTCCAGTCCCTCCCCTGGTCTGCTGTGTTTTGCTCAGCTGGGTGGCTTACCTTGAAACTTCGCAGGACGAGAAGAGAAGGCAGCTCTTGTGCGGGGTTGATGGAGGGAAGGAGAAGACACAATCCACCGCCCACATCTGAGTTCCCCGGGTTCAGCTCCAGCCGCAGCAGCCCTGCTGTAGGAACCGCTTTGCTATGCGAGATAGCCAGCAGAGGGAATCGGAACTTTGCTTGCAGCAGGGGTTGAAGCAGCCTTTTTTTTTTTCTTGGAGGAAATACTGCAGCCTTCTGGACTGCGTACGCTGCTCCCTGGAGGGGCTCTCCGGGTCCCACCCACCGGCTGGAAGGAGGGGAAGTGAATGAAAGGACAGGACAGCCCGAACACCATGTCACTCTGGGAGGGAGACAGCCGCAACTGAGCTGTGCAAGGTTTTTTTTTTTCTTTTTCTTTTCCCCTTTCTTTTTCTTTTCCCCTTTCTTTTTCTTTTTTTCTTTTTCTTCTTTCTTTCTCTTTCTTTTTTCTTTTCTTCTTCTTTTTTTTTTTTAACCTTTTTCTTTAAGGTGGGGACAGAGACAAACAGGAGACAGGAAGCTGACCTGCAAGGATTCGGAGTTGTGCTCAAAGGACTTTGATTTTTTTTTTTTTTCCTTTACAAACGCTGGCAATTGACATCACTACAAACAGCCTGGTGGAGAAGAAACTGCCCCATCCCAAGGAGACCCCGGCGGCTGGAGGAAGGCAGGCAGGATCTAGGAGGCTGTGAGGGGGGTTTTCCTACGGATCCCCCCCCCTCCTTTTTTTTTTTTTTTTTGGTGTGTTTCTTTTTAAAATTCTCGCTGTGTTGGAACTAGCCAGTGGTGGAAGAAGAATCTCCAAAGCCTCATCAGTCATCAGGACTGTCAGGAATAGTGGTTAAAGAGGACGCTCGCCTGGGGCATATACCCTGTCATCCAGTTTCCTGCCTCGGAGATAGAGATTCCAGCTACATGGGCAAACGCCTGGACCAGCCACAAATGTACCCCCAGTACACCTACTACTATCCTCATTACCTCCAAACCAAGGTATGGCTCGACCCACGGTCTGGCAGCAGCGTGGTGTCCTTCTGCACTTGGGACGGGAGACAGACAGGCGTGTGGACTATGATTATTGACCACCCCCCACCCCCGCCACCCCATCACCTCTCCCTGCTTCTTTGACATTAGTAACGTAGCCATGGAGTTAATGAAGCAGAGAACAGGAGAAGGAAGCCAGCCCGGAATCGTGGCTTTCGCTTTAAGGAAAGATAATAGTTTCCCTGGAGCTCCTTTGTTGTTATTTGGCAGCATAAACGTTCCTGCTACGGGTCCAGCCCTTGGCAGATGGGCAGGGTTGTTAAAAAGGAGATCAGAACCGTGATTAGCAGGCACGAGAATACAGTTTCAGGGGCTTTTTCTGGTGAGCTGTTCTTTGTTTGTGGCTCTAAAAGGGCTTTATTCCCCCCACCGGACAGGACATGCCAGGGTGGGGGCGACTCAAACTTTTAATCGCTGAGTGTAGAATAAAGAAGGGCTGGGAAGGTATACGGCGACTAGCTCAAGTCCCTCAGAGTTTGTTTGGGTGTATTTTCTGCTGTTGTTCATTGCCTTATGTGTTTTATTTTGTACTGAGGACGAGCGGGATGCTAGAGGCGGAATTCCGGAGCTTTACAATAGATGTTCTGTACTTTCCGAAGCTCTGGGTTTCTGTGCTGCCTGCCACCCGGAGGCCTGGGTCTGGGAACGGGGTGAAACATAGCTGATGATGATTGGACGTGAACTGGTTAAATACTTTAGGCTTTCTGCATGCGCTCAAATGATCGCTGAGGGGGCCAGGGGCAAGCCCACGTCACTAAGTGGTGGGTAGTGCCAACCCTGAACTTCATCCTGCAGTTCAGACATGGAAGACTCTCAGGTGTGAAATCACTGCTCCAATTTGTCAGTTCCACTGGGCTTGATCTGGGGGGAAATGTTGGTAGTTAGCCCCTTGAATGCACGGATTATATTTCTTTACAGATGATCCTGTTTTGCATTGCATTAGCCAGACTCTGCCTTCTCCTTAACAAATAAATATGCCGGGAGTGAGCAAGGCGTGCCTGAATGATCCATGCTGTCACCAGGACTCGGTGATGTGATGAGGGTTTGGTAATTCATGCTGTAGTTCTCGTTTATTCTGTCTCTCCCAACAATGCCTATTTGCAAACCCGACCAGGCAGTGGACTTTCAGTATTACATTAAAGACTGTTCTTTTTTGCCCTTTTCTTTCTCAGTCGTTCCGAGATTTGCCCTGCCCCTTCCAAGGTCGACTCACACTGCTTTTAGCCTTTGTGAGCATTTAGTTTGTGCTGTTGCTGCTTAAATAGCCCAGCCCTCCTGCTCCAGTGGCTCCAGCTTTAACTCTTCGGGGGATTGGGAAGACAACGCTGCCTGCCTTCCTTAAGGAAATGGCAAAGCAAGGACAAGTTAAAAAGGGGAAATTTACAGTCGTTTCTCATCCCCCAAAGAAACAAAAACAACAAACTCAAGGGTTGCCTGAAAAATATCAGACATTCCATCCTCTTTAGTCATTTGGCTAAATTTTTCCAAATGTTACAAAATTCATGCCTTCTTTTCGGTTCTTGTTTTCCACGATGAAGGAGATTCAGAAAAGAAACTTTAGATCCAAATGAATGGGATAATTGCTTTTCTGCTTGAGACTTCTTTTAACCTATTCCTGGCAGGAAATAATGTTGTGCACATTATATTAAAGAGACAGGATAGTGGATCAGCTACACTGGTGGAAAATGTGTGTGCGCGCGTGCGTGCGTACTTGGGATACAGAGGGAACATGGTGAGAGAAAAGAGCCCCAAAAATAACGGAGGGAGTTTATTTTTGAATCTGTTTTGGGGTCCTAGGTAGTTTAGCGTTGCATAGACAGGCGGCATCTGGATCTTGTTAATTTCAAGCCAGTCAAAGCCATCAACTTCTGGAACATTTTTAAAGAAGTTAGCTCCATTAGGCGGCCTCAGCTGATGTTCAGGTAATCAGATCAGGGTGGAAGGCAACACTCAGTCAGTTCCTTTGCTTATCATGGTAGCTCACACTGATGATTACGTTGTAAAATTTCGACAGTGCTGTGAAGTTGTCAGATACCGTTCCGGTGGCTCTGAAATGACAGACGTTAATAACATTCCCGGAAGCTGAAGATATGAAAACGTGCCCTGTTTTGGAACTCAGGCACGCAGGGAATGGGAAGAAAGGTCTGTGGACAACATTTTAAAGGGTGGGAACTTTCTGACAGCATTAACACTGTTTACTGAAGCCCTGTAGCGTCCCAGGATAGCTTGAAAACAGCCGGGTTATTTCAGTACCACTTTTTGCACTAATATCTCAAAACACCATCAAAAGAATTTTGAAGGAAATACAGGCTCTTTATATTTACTTGGTAAGCCTAAGTGAGATTCATAAACTCCCCTGTCCTTCTAGCCTTGGCTTGTAGTTATAACGCAATTTAAAAATCATGGCTATTTAAAATGATGCTGACATGTAAAGGAACATTTATGGCTGATGAAAACAGAATTCTGGGGTAGACAACAAAAATTATATCCTGGTGTTATTGTGCCTTAAACTGTTCTCCAAATTCAGGTGTTTTTAACCAACCCGTGGAAGCTATTTGCTGCCATGACTTTTGGGTGGAAAAATCGACATAGTTTAAAGAACTAAAATGTTTATTATTGTATTTATTTAGAAAATGCAAAAATACTGAACCTTCTTTTTCTGCCTAAGTATGTGTATTAGATACAGTTGCTAGGTTCCTATGATAAAACAAAAGGAACGTTGATTTTTAAATTAATGCAGATGTCTTCCATGTCCTCAAATGCAAGTGAAGTTTTAAGAAAACTTGTGACACTTCCCTGCCTCTCTCCTCTTATTACCCATCATAGTAGAAGCAATCGCTTTGTTGCTTAAAAAGGAAAAAGAAAAATAGGGAAAACCTGAGGCTAGCTTACACCCTGTGGCGATGCCAGTAAAATACGCTTCTTCTCATAGGCCTTGAATTAAAAGTTGTCACTTGTCAATTTTCTTTTTGGCCAATTTCTTTCTCCCTCTGCCAAAAGAAGCGATTTCAAAAAGAACATTGCTTTTGGTTGGGAGTCTTGAAAAAATCTTGGTGACATGACATAAAGTTTAAATAAGACAGAGAACTGGGTTAAACAACAACAAAAAATTGCATCAAAAGGAATTTGCCGTTGGAAGGCCACCCAGAATAATCAGCAAGTTTTAGAGAAAGGGGACCAACAATAGTTCATTAGCTTAATGATATTATACGTAATGATGTTTGATTGAGTTGAAGCCTGATATTTCTCAAGGAATTTGTCACAGCTCATTCCAAATGACCAACCTGTTGCTATTGCGTTATGAGACCCAGGGTGAATTTCAAGCTGAATTTGAGGTCCTTTGCAGGGTTTTCCGGGAAAAACAAATTAGTGGAAGTGGGAAAGCTAAAGAGAGTAAAATGTGGTGGTCCCCGCCTGGTGAGTCAATATTTTGCAGTTGAGAAAGAGATATTTCTCTCCTACGACATATTTGGAAACCTTTAGTCATCTTCGTAAAACTGTAAAATTCACTCAAGCACACACAGCAAGCTGGTCTTCCTCTTCCACATCCTCACCAGTTCACTGTGTTTCTACCAACTCAGTGTGGTTTCTAACCACGTGGTTTCTTCATCAGTCGACTGCTTTCCCTCCTTGGCCATCTGCTTCCCCAGACCTTGAAGAAAGGGGTTCAGACCATGGAACCCCGACAGGGTTTCTCTGGCTAGTGGGACTCAGATTCGGCTCGGAGCCTGGTGTGAAGTTGGGGTCAGGTGGAAGGAGTAATTCATCAACTGTGCACTGATTTCAGGCTGAATTTCCAACCATCTGCAGCTGGACAGCCGCCCGGCTCTGAAAGTCTCGCTGGAGCCCAGCGGTGCCACAGAAGGAAGGACACTTGAAAACACAAGGACTGAGCAGTCGGAGGGAAGACAGAAGCCCCGGGGGGGGGGGGGCACAGGATCTTCTTGAAAGTCGTGAATGTGCAGCTCCTTCAAAGGCCAAACAAAACTGCCCTGAACACATTTCTTGCACACAAAAATGGAGAAAATCTTGCCGAGGGAGGGAGTGAGTTTAGAATTTCCTCAGTACTTCCTGCCTCAGATTTGCATGGATAGTCAGAGTTGGTAACTTGCCAGTTTTAAAGCAGCCTTGAAAACTCCCAAGTACGGTTTCCCTTTGAAACATACAAAACTGGTTTTCTAAAAATTCTTCCAGCAATAGACATTTTCGGTAGAACTCCAAATATTTCTTTTCGCTTCAGGGGGTTAATAGGATAGCATGAAACTATGAGAACTCTTGTCTCATTTTAGAAGGCGTACTATTTTAATTGGTTTTAAATGAGAGGAATATTCTAAATAAGGGGCTGCCCTCCCCTTTTTAGCTTTTTTTTTTCTTCTTTACTCCTTGAAATCTTTGTGATTGTTGGGATTCTCTTGTCTATAATGTAATTGTTGTTATCACAACACTAAGTTTGCTGTCTCCTTATACGGAGTAGAAGTGTAAAAAGTTCATTTTTTTTTTCCTCCTGAGTAATTCCAAACTTAAGGGAAACACATGTATATTTCTATGAACAGTATCTTTCCAGCACATTTTCCTTTTACTTTCTCTCAATTTGGAAAAAGAAAAACAGAATCATAACTCAAAACTGTTTCCATGAAGTCATAAACTGGATCTGCGGGCTGGAGGTAGGGGCGAGGTGAAGGGACAGGGGCCAAAGACAGAAGATGCATGCGAGTCATTCCAGGTCTTCCTGGCTCCAGGAATTCTGGAAAGCTGCGTTTCTGCACTAAGATGATTTACACAATCCTTTTTTTTTTTTTTTGACATTATCAGTCTTTTTGGCAGAGAGAGGGCTCAGTCACAATTATGCCCGTGCCAAATTCAAAGAAAACCAGGCTTCTCCTTTAAAAGAAAATCTTTTTAGGGTTGGACTTCTTATTCAGGGTAAATGGTTGGTGTTTATCCAAAAT